TGCTGTATTTATTTAAGAAAGGGATTTCAGAACACCTCCCACCTCTGCACGCTGCTGCTGGAATGCAAACCACATGGACTTTGAAACACTGATAGTGTTGCAGGCAGCTTGTTGCTATTGTGTGAATATTTGGTCCATCTCTACCTTGAAACTATCTATTTGTTTCATTGTATTAAAAACAGCATAATATTGTAGCCATTCAGCCGCAGCAGTGTTATTTTTGGTGTTTATGCTGTGTGCATTTGGCTGCAGTGGCTTAGGATTTTGTATGGCTGCTAGAAATTAATACTTTGGCAACCGCTCAAGATTACATGGTGATCTTGAATCTCCTGAGCTACTTTCAAATCAGATCAGAGCAGAATCACTGGGAAAACAGCAAAAAATGTTGATCCCCTAACACAGTCAATCCAGTTATGAGGACAGTGCTGGCCCCGAGAGGACACTGAACTAAAAACAGAAAAATATTTTCTCCCCTGAAAAAAAAAAAAAAAAGAAGAGGTGACTGATAGTACAACTAAACAAAGTCCAGCAAGTGTATAAACTGACTGGGTTTGTGTTTATGCAACTTTTTCATACCTGTGTGTGTCTGTGTTTATGCCTGTGTCCGTGTGTGTGTGTGTCTCTTGGGTGAACCAGAAGCCAACGCAGAGTTCCGGCCTTGATGCCTCCGCTTAAGCTTCACTATATTCACTGAGGGAAATAAATGTGATTATCGGAGCTGTTCTTTCACTAATGTGACGTAACAGTTCATCTAAAAATAAAACTGAAAAATGTTGAGCCCCTTTTTGGTTAGATTCCTAACATTTATTAGCGGGATTTAACTCGTCTACGTCAAATAAAGCTCCGAGGGGGGGGAAAAAACACAACAGTCTGCATTTCTGTGATTTGTTTCAAAGAAATGAGCAGCTTGTTTGGTGGTTTTTAAAGCTGAATTCATTGCATTCAACTCAGGACTACTGAAACATTTTAGTCGCTGTCTGTCTGGCGGTCTGACAAGCGTACGATACACCGCTGCACTTGTCAGAACTTGCATAGGAGGGCTTGATTCAGCAGTCAGCAGTAGCAGGAAAAATGTTATCTTCTCTTTTTGAAGTTGTTGAATGTTGTGCTGGTTCCAAATTTGTTTGTCTGCATATGAATGCACCCTTGCTCAAACAGATTTCAACAATGATATTAATATTGTATTTTTTAATTTTAATTTTTATTATATTGGATAAACTAAAAGAGATATTCAGAGTTTATATACAAACTGGCCATGAAATCTAGATATCAAACATGGCCTAACACCCTCCATGTGCTTTACTGGCTATTAAAAAGTAACTTTATTTAGAAGAGGTCCATCCATTCATCCATTATCTATACACCGCTTAATTCTCACTAGGGTCGCGGGGGGCTGGAGTCTATCCCAGCTGACTTAGAGTGAAGGCAGGGGACACCCTGGACAGGTCACCAGTCTATCACAGGGCCACACTTAGAGACAGACAACCAACTGCACTCCCATTCACACCTATGGACAATCTAGAATCACCAATTAACCTCAACATGTTTTTGGACTTGTGGGAGGAAGCCGGAGACGCCGGAAAGAACATGTAAACTCCACCAGGACGCACCAGAACAACTGCGCCACCTTGCAGCCCTATTTAGAAGAGGTGATATCCTAAAACAGACTTTATAGTGATACAACACCTGTGATGGTGCATAGACCTCCTAAAAAAAACAATGATTTTATTCATAAGTTCTTTTATCATTTATGGACAATTGTCCAGATAACCCAAAGATTTTAGATGATTTCAACATCTACATTCGCTGCCCCACTAAACTCGTGGTTACTGGGTTTTTATGCTTCACAGATTCTTTTAATCTTGTTCAATCAGTTTCTGCTCCTACACATCAGAAAGGTCACACACTAGACCTCGTATTATCATCAGGTTTCCAGCCTGGGAGTTGCGGATGTGGGGGTCTCTGATCATTTTTGCTTCTGTTTAAGTCAGGGTTTTCCATGTATGTTTTTGCAGAGTCTTAACTTCAGTTTTAAATTAATCAGGTAAATGTCCTTTATTAATAATACTGCACCCTCATATTAAATTCAGCCAGTTAAATCCACACCATAAATAACACTGTTGGGTTCTAACCTTAATATTTAAATTTGTGTTTTATATTTGTAACACCGATCTCATTTCTTTACTGGAATACACTTTGTTGTTTTAAATGTGTCGCATAAACACATGCTCACAAACAGGCCAAATTTAGTCTTCATCCTGTCTAGTTTGAGGATATGTTATTTTGTCACAGTGACAAAGCAAATTATACTAAAGTCTGTGTGTCTTGTGCAGTGGTGTGGATTTGGGACACAGTTATGGATTTTCTGTTAAACACCACTAACACTCTGGGGAAGGCCTCTGAAAAAAAAACATGTCAGCAATTAGGTGTCAGTGAAATATGAGGCGACACAGGCACTAAACACGCTTCCATCTACTCCACTTCTACAGTATCTTTTTTTTTCTTTTTCTTTTTCCCCAAATCTAAAAATAATGTATGTTTATGTGGTTGTTAACATTTTGCTTCTATTCAGCCTGTGACTGGATCATCAGTTGAATTTGGGTTGATAAATGAAGCCTTTCTGAAAGATACAGAGTACTGACGGTTAAATGTGGATACTGTTATAATGTGAGTGGATATTTAAAAAAAAGTAGGAGGAAAGAAATTAATGTGTTTAGAAATCATAAAAGCAGTCCTTTCTTAGCTACAGTGGAAATGTATGGGGATATGAGGACATCTACTGGCTGAAGAGGGACACATGAAATACAAAAAGCAAATCAAGAGGCAGATCTTTTGACTGACTGACTGACTGACTGACATGCTTGTAAACTGAGATGTCAGCAGACAAATCTCTACCTAAGGAATTTGTAAAAACGTTTTTTTTAACAAGGAGGCTTGCTTCCTCCTTCCTCCTGATTGTATTCATAAATATCAGTCACCATCAAATCACGTTGATCAGCAGTGAAACTTTTTATATTTGCGCTCTTGTCCGACATACATTAAAATATTTAAGTTATTGGGTAAAGCGTGTACATCTCAAGCTTCTGTCATTCCTTCAGTTCATTCTTCCTCCACTAGATGTCAATACTGCTACGTCTCATGTTTCAGCTCTATCAGCAGCCAACTGCAAAAGCTGAGACACGGATGCTGAGAGGTAATTTACTGCCCTTAACCAAGTTGTGTTTATTCTGAAAACAGTCAGACGAGACCGAAAAGCCTCCTATGGGCTGAGATGGGTGAAACGATTTCATTCTGCTGTTTAAAGGCTGTTACAGATACATTTCATTTTAACAGGCATAAAGACATATCAATATGTTAAAAAACAAACAAACAAAACTATTAGACAATTGACTCCGGTGCAATAATTGATTAAAGGGAAATTCTGTAAAGAGGTTGATTTTAAATTGAACTATTTATCTCTCTCCATTAGCAGATTACTCCCACAGAGACTGACAGCTGCTGAAGCTCCTGTGCGCCGGTAGATGGCAGTGTCCAGCTATATTTAACTGCCAGCTTACGCATCTCATGCAGGTTTAAAGGAGAATAATTGTGAGCGCTTGGAAGTTTTCCTGACATACAGTCTAATCGAAGGTCTAGAGAAGGAAACGGTGTGCGTTAAGCATGAATGCGTAAAAGTTCCAAACAGTTTTTAAAATGTTCAGAAGAAGAAATTTAGTGCAGAAGAACAGAATTCTGGACGAAAAGTGACAGAAAGTTGGTGCAGGGCCAATAATAACGATGATCAGAATTACATTTTTTGTAAGTGAATTCCTATTTTGGCTTTGAGACGGTTTAAAAACAAAAAACAGAAATGGCAGCGATTAAAAATGTCTCTTTATCACACACACACTGAGGAGTGATCTTTCCTCATTTACGCCACACATTTCAGTTCCCTGTTGTGAAAAAAACAAACATTTATTTTGAGGGGAAGAAAGGGAAAAACTAAATTATTAAATTTCAATCTTTTTGGTGGCGTCTCCTGCGGAGCTGTCCGCTGGAGTGTGGTGCTGAAACACAACTGTTCTTATAAAATAACGCCCAAATCTTGAGCAGCAGTGATGCAGCTGATCACACTTGAAACAACTGCAGATTTTCTTGTGTTGTTGAGTCCGCACTTTTAGCCAAAAAAAATGCGTAAAAGTGCGCGTTATTATAAGAGCTTCAACGGTTTTTGTAAATGCATCTCCTATTTTTAGAGTAAATCGATTAAAACCGCTAAAAGCCTCATTGTCATTTAAAACTCAGAAGGTTAATTAAATGTAACATAAAGGGAACCAAGCATCTCCGGCTCTGCGTTGACGCAACTGGCTGGACAGCAGTGTGCACTCGGGATTTTGTGTTTAATTAGCATAAAAGATCTGCTGGAGAGCAGCAGGACTGTGCGTCACAGCCATCGGCGGAGATGGGAGGGGGAAAGGGGGGATACCTATGGGAGTCAACAAACTGCAGTGTGTATTCCTTCCACGGCCGACAAAAACCAGTCCGGCTGATGTGAAATGATGACTTAGCTCACAGCGTTACAGGTGACTGGAGACAGCTGGGAGCGTCTGGGAGCCGGAGGGGCGCAGCAGACCGACCTCAACGCAGCCAGCGCGCTGATGGAACCGGCACCGTGAGCTGTAGGTGAATCCCCCCCAAACCTGTGAGCGCTGCCCGGGACCAGCACGTCACCTGAATGACGGGATATGAGACGATGAAGCAACTAGGGACGGCGGGGATAAAACGAGTCCAAGTCACGAGAGTGGAAAAGCGTGTGCGATGACGGACAGCGCAAGGGACAGAGAAGAGGTAAAGCAGAGGAAAGTTGTCTAGTTAATTAGGGCTCCCCGGTGGTGGATGAGAAAACAAAATAAAGAGACGGAACAGATGTGCCAAGCGTGCGTAATTCTGTAAACAAACTTCATAGAATCTCTTTTATTTTTTTGTAAAAGACAAGACTTGAGCCAGAAAGGGACGAAATCATGGAGCCGGAGGGGACCACAGCGGGGCACGCCACTAATATGGCACAATCTGCCGCCTCCAAACTGTCCCAGATGGGCGAAAGAACTAAACAACTGGTAATCCAAGACCCAGAACGGCAGAAACGGATTATTCTCGTAATAGTCTGCATAGCACTTTTATTAGACAACATGCTTTACATGGTAATTGTGCCAATTATACCCGATTACCTTGAAGAGCTACAGAAATCAGCGGATCGTGACCAAGCCGCTGCAGTGCACACCAACTTCACCAACAGCACCGTCCACAAAGTAGCCAAGGGCAACTTCGACCTCCAGATAGGCGTTCTTTTCGCCTCTAAGGCCATCCTGCAGCTCCTGGTGAACCCGCTGAGTGGCACGTTCATAGACAGGGTCGGCTACGACATCCCACTCTTCATCGGACTCAATGTCATGTTTATCTCCACTCTCATATTTGCCTTCGCTGAAAACTACGCGACCCTGTTCCTGGCGCGCAGCATGCAGGGCCTCGGCTCGGCTTTCGCGGACACCTCGGGGATCGCTCTGATCGCAGACAAGTACACAGAGGAGACGGAGAGGAGCAAAGCGCTGGGTATTGCCTTGGCTTTCATCTCTTTTGGGAGCCTTGTGGCGCCCCCCTTTGGAGGGGTCCTCTACCAGTTCGCAGGGAAGCGGGTGCCCTTTCTGATTCTGGCCTGCATCTGTCTCATCGATGGCGTGCTGTGCCTGACTGTGCTGAAGCCCTTTTCCAACCGAGAGAGAGAAAACATGCCAGTGGGCACCCCCATTTATAAACTGATGATTGATCCTTACATAGCCGTGGTGGCCGGTGCTCTCACCATCTGTAACATCCCTCTTGCTTTCCTTGAGCCCACGATCGCCAACTGGATGGAGGACACCATGCACTCCAGCCAGTGGGAGATCGGCATGACATGGTTTCCTGCGTTCTTCCCTCATGTCCTGGGTGTCTATCTCACTGTCAAATTAGCAGCCAAGTACCCTCATCTCCAGTGGTTTTACGGGGCTATAGGTATGGTGTTTATAGGTGCGAGCTCCTGCACGGTGCCAGCCTGTAAAAACTTTGGCCAGCTCATGATCCCACTGTGTGGCATCTGTTTTGGCATCGCCTTCGTGGACACGGCGCTCCTGCCGACACTGGGTTTCCTGGTGGATGTGCGCCATGTGTCAGTGTATGGCAGTGTGTACGCCATCGCAGACATCTCCTACTGTGTGGCCTACGCCCTGGGGCCCGTGGTGGCCGGACAGATAGTGCACGACCTGGGCTTCGTTCAGCTCAACTTAGGCATGGGGCTCGCCAACGTGCTTTACGCACCGGCGCTCCTGCTGCTGAAGAACGTGACTAAGATGAAACCCTCTTTCTCCGAGCGAAATATGCTCCTAGAAGACGGTCCAACGGGGCTGTACGATACGATTAAGATGGAGCAAAAAGAGAAGAAGAAGAAAGGTTTGTGCACGACGATCGACGAGAATGGCATTGAAACCTTTGCTCAGCGCTCGTACTCAGAGGAGGAATCCTCAGGAGGAGAGTATGCGTAAAAGTCCTTTAAACTGAGTGTAAAACGATCAAAGTGCCCATTTAGAGTTGTGTGTAGCCCGTCTGATTCAATCAAATGCATAACACGATTAGGAGTGTGTAACAGCATCAGTTAATTACTGCTTCTGGTAACAATTCCTCTGGGTTTTTGTCAAATCAAGTAGCTTCAAGCTTTCTGGCGCTCGCTGGCGTTTCTTCATTTTAAAAGTGAGAGTATTGTGAAAGATTTGCTGAGATAAATGTCTGTTCATTAGCAGTAGTTATCAGAAACGGACTCATATCGTATTCAGGGAATTATGTGTAAATGTATTTTAACAAAAGAGCAAATGTAATGTATGCGTCCTTCAATGTATTCTGTATTTTATTTTTATTTATTTTTTGCTGCTAAACTCAATATGCAATATTGTACGTCACACGACAGTTTTAGAAAGGTGGACATTAACTGAAATCTGCGTCTTGTTGTTCGTTTCTTTTGGATGATGTACTTCTGGAATGCATAGCCTCAATGTATGATCTGCTACTGTACATACATGTATATTCATGTACATAATTAAATCAATATTATGTGAATGATACTGCTTATTGAAATGATTTATTTAGGCAATAAATCAAATTATTTATTGTGGTTTATGGTAATTTTATTTTTCTCTACAGATGAAAAGCAAACTAAATAAATTCTAATGACTATAAGGTGGTTTGTCAAAAACATAGTTATATTTATAATGTGAAGATTTATCATTTAAATCAGGTTTTGTCTCTGCACACACACGTGTGTTGGAGGGAAACGAATATTAAACTGCTTAAGGCCCACATTGATGTAGTTTTGTAATTTCAATTCTGACTTTTTGTTGTTGTTTTTGAAAGGAGGTAATTGTAATAAAAGTAAAAGCAACTTCTTATAATTTAAAAATAGATTTCGTGCAAAATACATGAATAATTTTGATGTAGGATCCTGTGGCTGATACTGTGTGCAAAATAAAGAATCTGTCAAAGCAGCGTCGCTTGTCAAAAATGCAAATCATACAATGTTAAATACAAGGCGCCAATTAGATCAGTCAGACGCAGTGAGGTGGAGGCGATGTATGCGCCCAAACTTATCCACGAAAACTGTTGCAAATTCAGTAACCCAGGGAAAGAAATCCGTGTAAAAAATGCATCCAAATTGTTCTCCTGCAGAGTGTGAGCATCTGAGGCGTTCAGTCGGCGTCTAAATAAGGTGGGGTGAAGATGTGAAGTGCCAAATAAACTTCTCGGCGAATAGCAGGACTTCTGGGAGGAGCCTGGCAGCCAGGAGGCTGAGGTACCCTCTCAGCATCGCTCTTGAGCCAGCGAGGGAGTTGTGCTCACGCCATGCAGGGGATTGAAAGATGCTTGAAGTGATGAAGGACCGAAGTGGTGAAATTTTGAAGAATTTTCTCTCCAAATGGATTCAAGTAAAGATGGACCAACCTAAAGTTACAGTTTGAGACCCAGGACGGGAGTTCTTTTTTTTCTGGCTGGTGAGTAAAACATTTCATTTTTATGTGATGGATTATGTCAGTTGTATCTTAATTATATTAGTTATGTGAGCACGTTCACGTCAAATGCGCAGGTTGCAAGAAAATCTAACAAGGTGTGCTTTCTTGTAATTTATTTTTCTTTGATCAGCTTTTTCTCTTAACATTTCCATAATGGTGTGCACTCACTTAGACTGTCACTGTGACAGACATTTATTTCAAGGCGCTCTGCTCACTGTACTGACATTATCCAATTTATATTTGTGGACACAGACTCTGTTTCATGAAGCAACCTGCCTGACTGCACCTCTGCGCTGCCAACATGCCAGTTCTGGACCGAGAGCCCTCCAAAGAGTCAGGAGGCGGAGATGTAAATATCTTATATCTGAGTTATAAGAAGATAAAACAGCTTCACAAATGAGGCTCATCAAATCAAAATAAAACAGATTATAATAATGAGATCAAAACATAAAAGTAATGTTTAAAGAATTAAGTATCTAAGTGAGAAATTGGCCATTTTGTTATAGTGGTTGTTCTCAGTTATACAATACAACTAAACTGATTATCATTTAGCCAAATTAAATACCTTCTTGATTAAAATGACATAATGTATGTATCAGGTGATGCAGAAGTTTTGCTTGGTGATGTGCAACCACATATCTAGTTTTTTTTTTTTTTAAAAAACTGGTGATGAGAGCTTAAAGTTTTGCATCCCTTCCCACACTGTCCAGGGTCTGCCGAAGCTGCCGCTCCCCACCCTGAAAGACACACTGGAGATGTACCTGAGATGCATGAAGCACCTGCTCACAGAGGAGCAGTTTGACCAGACCCAAAATACAGTGAAGCAGTTTGGAGCCCCTGGAGGGGTGGGGGAGCTACTACAGAGCAAACTCATGGAGAGGAGAGAGAACAAAGCAAACTGGGTAGATAAGACATTTTGAAAATGTACAAATTAAAGTGCACATGAATGTATTTTAGAGTTCGGGCAAACTGCTGAATAAATAGCATACATGTGTGTTTATCAGTGCAGCTGTAAAGTTTGAGTTATGCATGGAAATGTGCATTTTGTTTGATAAAATCTTAGGTATGATTTAATCAAAATTTACTGCTGTATACAAACCAGGGAAATATTTACAGACTTGTACCTGTGTAGACTTATCAATCATTTGCTATCAGACTGTGCTCTTGAGTAAATCCCTCTGTTATCTACCGTAGGTGTACCACTACTGGCTGAATGACATGTACCTGAACAACCGACTGGCTCTGCCCGTCAACTCCAGTCCTGCCATGGTCTTCCCGCAGCAGAACTTCAAGGCTCCTATCGACTCCTTAAGGTACGAGACGCTGCAAAACCGAGACAAATGAGTCATGCAAGAAACCTCACAGCATGATGCAATAAGAGCGGGCAGACAAACACGCTGTCTTCCAGTAGTGGAAGTGACCATTTCTTCTGCATCGTCCCACATTACTCATCCTCCACAACAGACACAGGCAGAGAGCAGACTGTAATTGCCATGAACTGTAAGAAAAAAATAAAATAAATCAGTAGCATTTGTCAGGTAGTTTTTGACTCTAACAGCATGAAGGCAGAGAAATGATAGAGAACTGAACAATGCACCAGCTTTGATTGATTATAGGGAATTGAACACTTCCTTGCTGACAGATAGGGTCATTACCCAGAACACCTCTAGGCCTCAGAGGCCAGGCCAGGCTGCTGGTGGCAAGGTTAATAGACAACAAAAGCTATGGTTTGGTTAACATTGATCTGGAACTGGCTCCTTAACCAGATGATTTACATCGAGCATTTAAGTGTGATACGGCCGCACAATAAATCAACAACGAGGGTAAAGAGTGCAGGACTGAGCTATTACAATGTGATTAAACAGAGCACGGTGTTCCTCCCTAGGTTTGCTGCTCACTTAATTTCTGGAGTTTTGGAGTACAAGACTCTTCTTGATGCGTAAGTTAACATTCAAGCAAGCACAAACAGAAATTATCTCCTCCTGTGGTGTAAATAAAAAGCTCTGATAAAGCTGTGTGTGTCTGTGTGTAGCCGCGCGTTGCCTGTGGACTATGCTCGAGGCCAGTTGGCTGGAACCCCCCTGTGCATGGAGCAGTACTATCGCCTCTTCACTTCCTACCGCTTACCAGGGCCTGAGAGGGACACACTGGTGGCCCAGGAGAGCAGCGTGATGCCAGAACCTGAACACATCATTGTGGCTTGTAAAAACCAGGTCAGACTGAGAGGAAAAAAAAAAACACAAATCCCTTCAAAACGAATACACGAGCTTGACAGGAACACATCTAGCCCAAGATCCAGAGTCCAGAGTCTTCATCTGTGGAAGCTCAGCACATTCAGAACATCTCATGCTTATCGATTAAACACAGAAGAGCATTCCCGGCTTAAATAGAAGTTTGGCAAAACAATCCAGCTCAAGCAAACTTTCTTTTTCTCTGGCTTTCAGCTTTATCTCATTGGTTTTTGTCACAAGGTATAAAATTGCAAATATTAGGAGCAGGCTTGATTTATAAGTTAATGCAGAAAAGGAGTTCTTAAAATGGCACAAATCAACAATAGGAACAGAACAGAGAACATATTTTACACCAACAGCCAACTGCTTTTATTATCTGTAACATTATGTGACAACTGCACATCAGCCACCGATTTACATGAAAACAGTTAAAAGTGCTCAAACGGGTAAAACAATTAGTGATGCTCATCAAGTCCATTAATAAGAGATAATAGATCAGAATTACATGTGATTTCATTTTGAAATTCATTCTAAGATCAAAAAGCTGAACTTTAGATCTATCTAAAGCCCGTCCTCCTCAGGGTGAAAGAGGCGCCACTGGAAATGCTGCAACATTTCTACAGTCATGTCTGATGGAGCAGAAAACAAGAAACAGAAAACAAGAGCAGTTAGATAATTGTACAAGGTTTAAACAAATCCAAAGGTTAGCTGGATTTAAGGTCAAACACAGCTTCCTTTTTTTTTTCCTTTTACCAAAGCTGGCTGTTGTAAACATCCACTATGGTTCACAGGCTCACCTGGTAAACATCTGACCAGTGGTAACTTCCAGAGCTGTGCACATACACTTTATTACAGCAAAATGAGTGATTATAACTGACACTTCAGGTGTGCTCAACTTTGTCTATTGCAGAATAAAGTCATTTAGATAATTGGGCCAAACTGCCGGCTTGTTAACAGCCTCTCTGTCAGTCTGATCATTTGTGTTTCCTTGCAGCAATCTCATAATTACTTTGGTGAGTACAGTGTTATCACATCCGGGAAAAATGGTTTTAAGATTCAAGTTGTAATTAACCAGAGTTGCCCTTTAACTCCATTTCCAGTCACTATCTATTTCCAATCAGATCCACTGCATTGCACAATATTTTAGTTACCTGTAAAGTGAAGATTTATTCATCAGTGAACTTCCTATAACGTGTAGAAATTAGAAGAAAAAAAAACAACTAAACGACATAAATCTTTGACTTTAATTCTTCCTAGTTACACTTGAGCATAGTTTTTCAAAGTACAGGGCAGACTGATTGCGCCACAAATCTTGCCACAGTTCATCTGTCTTATTTGTTTCTGTCTCTTTATGTAAGACTGACTCTGTGATGTTGTGATCAGGGCTCTGTGGGAATCCTTATGGCCCTGGCTGTATATCCAGACTCGCTGTCACGCTGCTGAATGAATTCTGAATGAACACTGCACCATGGATAATAATCAAAACATCCAAAGTGCTTTCAAATCTCTGCACAGTCGCATATGATTCTAGAGAGACAGGCGTACTGAAAACACTCTGTGTCCAATCTGACCCTCCGTCCAGTTCTTTGTGATGGATGTGGTGATCAACTTCCGGCGTCTGAACGAAAGAGACCTGCTGACTCAGCTGGAGAAAATAGTCAAGATGGCTGAGAGCGAAGAAGAGCGGCTCCCACCTATAGGCCTCCTCACTTCAGACGGACGGACAGAGTGGGCCGAGTCCCGCAGTGTGTTAATGAGAGGTAAATAGTTATTTTTCTTCTAAGTAAGGCGGCTCCAACTCTGTCTGTTCCACCTGAGTGACTTTTATTTCCTACAGAGTCGACCAACAGAGACTCCCTGGACATGATTGAGCGTTGTCTGTGTCTGGTCTGTCTGGATGACGCCAGTGGTCCTGAGCTCAGTGAATCCACACGTGCCATGTTGATGCTGCACGGAGGCGGCGTGGCCAAGAATGGAGGAAACCGCTGGTATGACAAGCCCATGCAGGTCAGCGAACACAGACACATATCTGAACAGAGCCCTGCATTATGTTTGATATTAGTTATTGAGAAAAAATAAGAATCAAAGAGGGAGGAAGTTTATGTAGATTAATGATTTACAGTATCAGTTTTCCTCTTTAAATAGTGAGGAAAGTGACACGAGTGAAGAAATTCATTTTCATTTCTCACAGCACAGTGGATGTAATTAGCCAATCCTGTGCCAAAGTAAGCATTTACATTTATACAAATTCAGCCAACACTCCCATTTGACTTCAAACTCTATGCTTGCAAAACATCCTTAGTATGAACTTTGATACAGATGTTTTGATGAAAAATGACAGATTGCTAAAGTTAACTGTTCCTCTCTGGGTATTTCCTCCACTGGAGGGTGTTATGTGTGGATCAAATGTATATGAGGGAACATGTATTTGCAGTAGAAGTATAGTGTTGCAAATAAATTGAACCTTAAATAATGTAATATTGCAGTTCAGCTCCAGAAAATGTAACTGAAAATAGCATTTCTGTGTCAGTTTGTTGTAGGAGCCGACGGCTGCTGTGGAGTCGTGTGTGAACACTCACCATTCGAGGGAATCGTCCTGGTGCAGTGCACAGAGTATCTCCTGAAATACATGTGAGAAAGGAAGGCCACTGGATATATTTGTGGATATACTATGCAAAGAAAATCTAAATAAGACTATTCTTAAATTATGCTAAATTATATCACATTGCCATCAGGATTGGAAGTCCATCAAAGCTGGTCAGGGCTGCCAGTGTGAGTGAGCTGCCTGCACCACGCAGACTCCGCTGGAAATGCACTCCAGAGGTTCACAAGCTCCTCACGTCTTCTGCTGACAAACTCCAGAGGTTTGGCTTTACTCTGGTTTTTCAGCAATCAAAGAAATTAACTAATAATTTCAGCTCATGGTGAAAATTTCTCTTCTCTTGTCCAGGCTGGTGAGAAATCTGGACATGAACGTCCACAAGTTCTACGATTACGGGAAAGAGTTCATCAAGAAGCAGAAGATGAGCCCAGATGCCTACATCCAGGTTGCTCTTCAGTTGGCCTTCTACCGGTAAGAAAGAGCTCACAGGACTGATTCTCATGCGTCAAGCTAAACCGGGACTCTGAGCTGCAAGACTCTCTTTCTCTGTGCATTCCTGCAGGTGTCACGGCAGACTGGTGTCGACGTACGAAAGCGCTTCTATACGTCGTTTTCAGGAAGGCCGAGTAGACAACATTCGCTCAGCCACACCCGAAGCACTGGCCTTTGTCAAAGCAATGACTGATGGGAAACTCAGCACAAGCGTAAGATGTTTTAATGCTACAGTCATGCTGTCATTGCATGAATGAATGCTGCTGCAGAGTCAAAAAAATCAATTTGAATGACGTAACAAGACAGCTAGTTTTCTTTGCTTTGCTATTCAATACTTCACTGCAGGCTGTGACCATGAAAAACTATGCTTACTGTAAATAAACGATTGAATCGTCTGGTATTGATTGTCAGACCTTTACTTCTGCAGGACACAGAGAAGATGGAGATGTTACGAGGTGCCATAAATGTGCAGACAAAGTATACTATTCTGGTAACTACTTCCTACTTTCAGGTTTCTATGACAGTGTTTTCTCATCAAATAAATACAATAACATACTTTGTGTTTTTCAGGCTATTACAGGGATGGCTATAGACAATCACCTACTAGGACTACGAGAAATTGCACATGAAATGAAGATAGAGAAGCCGGGATTATTTAAAGACGAAGCCTATCTCATCAGCAATCAGTTCATTCTCTCTACAAGTCAGGTATACGCACATGGTTTGAAAATGTATGTTGGAAGTTGAAAGTATCCATATTACAAAATGTGAGCTAATTCTATAAGAAAAAGTAAGAAGAAACTCTGAATTTTGATAATTTAGCCACATTTCTAATAAAGAAAAAATAGCAAATGTATAGAACCTTCCACCAAAATGTTTAATATTATCTGTTTATCTGTTTTCTAAGATGCTTTTGTTAAATTAACTACCCTAAGTATCCAGCATCACAAGAGCAATGTCATTACATTAAGCTGATTTTTAAAAACTTTTTCTTTTTAAATTATGTCTTTCTTATTTAAATGACAAAGAACAACAATTACGACACACATTTCAATCATTTTTTCTAAACTAGGGCTGCAATTTGTTATTATTTTTCATTATTAATGAATTTGTTGCTTTTTTCCACCTAATTGATTGGTGGTTTAGCCCATAAAATGTCATGAAGTTGTATTTAAAAAAATGTGGATTTTGGAGCCCCAGATGAACTACTAAAATATGTTATATATCCACAACCAAAAAATATCCAGTTTACAGTCAAAGAGGAGTAAAAAAAAAATGCTGAAACTATTAAAATTTAGGAAGATGGAATCAGAGAATTTAGACTTTTTCTGTGAAAACATCACTTAAACTGATTAATCCGTTCAAAACACATCACTCTTGCATGTAAACCTTTCCACTTACAGCAGCATTTCACCACACCAGTAAAACTGTGAGTAAGCACCGAAGCATTATTCTTCCCTCAGGTCCCGACCACTGTGGAGATGTTCTGCTGCTATGGACCCGTGGTTCCAAACGGATACGGCGCCTGCTACAACCCTCAGTCAGACCACATTATCTTCTCCGTGTCCAGTTTCCGCGAGAGCCCACAGACGTGTTCAGCAGAATTCGTAAAGTCCTTGGTGCAGGGACTCCTGGACTTGAGGGATCTGTGCAGTAAATGCAACTCTGGCTCCAAACCAACCGAGCAGAGAAAGGCTCAGACGCTGGACACGCACACACAAACGGAGACAAACTGGCAGAACAAAACCCCGCAGAGACAATCTGACTCGACCAAGAATCAGCAAACAGTTCCACAGGTTCTGGTGAAGACACCAGACCAGACTAACGTAGAGGCCCAGACCCAGACGTCATCACAGGGAGAGGCTTTGAAGAATGGAAGCAAATCTTAGGAAGATGTCAGTGACTGCGTGAAACTAAATGTGTGTTTTTGTGCCGCAATAATGTGTTCCTCTTGAGTCAGTCATAAAATATACAGTGTAACTGTGATAGGAGATGTTATGTAAAGGAGTATTGTTGTATACTGTACTGTAAAGTGTTGATAATCATCTAATCAACTTATTTTTTGAGGATATATATATATATATATAATGGTGTTTAGTTGTTACAGAGGATGTTTTTCAGCTGCTCTCACAAATACTGCAGGAATTGAAATGTCTGTTAATGTTGCTGCTGTATGTAGATAAGATGTAGAGTGAGACTTATGCTTTGGATTGTTTTGCACAAAACTGAGATCAATAAGCCAAAGAAAAGAGTACATTTATTGCTAAACAACTACGGCTACAGTTAAGCTTCATAGGAAATATTGAAATTGAAAAGAAAGCGATGCAAACACTCAGTACTGACTCTGGATCTTACATGTTTGCATCATTTTGTCCATGAAGCCTGTCAGTCGGTTTGATGGAGCAAAAACAGCCTGAGTCATGACAAATAGCTTTTTTTTTGTTGTTGTTCTTTTTCTTTTAAATCTCTGTGTCAACCTGCAAATCGCATGCTGCTATTTAATGATCTTCTGAAGACTGTGACGCCGCAGTCTTCTATGCAATCTCAATTTGTGCTGTCTATTCTGTGTACCGTACCAACAATACGTGTGGTGTTACTGAAACATCTGCTCGCAAGAAGTATCCTTGATAAAAAATCCCTCCTCAGTCTGTTCACATACTGTCCTGTAGTCCATATGCTGGGACTCACACTGTGCTTGTGTACATAGTAAAACAAAATGTAACTGTGCAAGACTTTAAAAGGATACTTTTAAGTTAAAGAATGTTTAGTTGATCAAAAACTGTGTATTTGTAAATTTATGAGCAGAAAATATCGATTAAGTTATTTATTTTTGTATGATATAGTCTAATGTTACAGGGTGTAATTGTAAGTTTGAAACTTACTAACCAGAGGTGATCACTGTGTTTATGACTGTCAAAGTATTGTATTTATAAGATATTGTTGACGATTAAACGATACAAACCTAAATCAATTTAAGGCTTAAGTTTGCTGCCTTTGGAATACTTGGAAATTGTATGTTAGGGCTCTACACACATATGCAGTATATAAGTGTGTAAAACAGGTCCTGAAGCGATTGAGCTGCATTGTTTATGATGTGAACGTTAACTATGTATTACTAGAGACATGGGACTCAGTCAAATTCCTAGAAAAGTTTCTTTATTGCAGATGAAGTCATTAAAACCCTCTTTGACCAGGTGGAAGCAGCATCTCCTGTAGTGCTCGTCCTGCAGTCATGAAGCCAGAGTGCATTAATAGTTATGTCTGTTTTTTTTAAAAAGGAGGCCAAATCAGCTTGAAAAGAGTGCAGGTTGTAGAGTACTTTTCATCTAAATTCTAAATCTTCTGTGTGTGTTTTTGTTTTTTGTTTTAAATCATTACATTTAGTAGTGTTTTGTGGTTGCTCTGGGAACATTTCTGTTTACAATTTTATATAAAATTATTATATAGCTAGTGTTGGAGTGGTTGAACTATGCATGTGAACCTATGCATGTGCTCATTTAAAATAACTGTCTGTCTTTGGTTTGCCAAGAATTTACAGTGGCTCAGACACAGATGGTGGTGGATGGGTTTCCACCCCCACCTGTTTGCCTCATTAATTTACCAGCAGCTTTTTAACCCTCAAATCTAATCTTTTTTTAAAATTATCATTATGATCAACTTGCTATTTCACAGTTTATCTTACTTATGCATACATGCACAAGTAAGCTGATCTGTTCTGAACTTGGCTCGGCCACCTATCAGCAGCAGAGTGTTTGACGGTTACCCAGGTGACCACAGTAAACAATGCCAGCCAACGCACTGGTGACTCTTTGCTACGGACCTTATGAATCCAGTGGAGTGGTGCAACACAGAACCTTCCGCCTGCAGGGTCTCCAAGGTGCGTCTCTTCTCCATTCACAGTGCTATTAGGATCCCTGCATGTCATCTGTCTTTATTCTCACAGGTGAGTCAAACAACTTTCTGTCCAATATGTCTGCAGCCGCTCTGAGGGCGCGCGGGCACCGGTGCGTCCTGGAAGAAATGCACATCTGGAACATGGTGGAGCTGGTGGTCAGTGGGGAGGTGGTGTTCAGGTGTAAAATAAAGGAGCTGGAGTTTGGTGAGTTTGTAGTTTCTAACTGCATGCTACATAAGGGGGAAGTCGTTCAGTCTGGCAACCTGCTGTGTTTTTCATCCGAAGGTGGAGATGGGAAACTGGATCCTGTCTGCAGGGAAGCTGTTACTGCGGTGGAGAACGCTTACTGAGGAAACAGAACCTGGCTGATAAACAAAAAATAATGCATGCATGTGCATTCAGTTTTCCCCCTTATTCAGCTGAATAAACTATATAGACTGGAGTTAGTTTACTGCTTTGTTACTGCATGAATTCCCCAAAGGACCCTCACATTTACCACAATTACTCTATTTTATATCAGCAGATGTTGGTTCTTTCCTTCACTGCAGATTGAGGGAGTTTATATCATGGAAAGCATAAAGTGAGTTGGCACTGCATTATATTCTGAAGGTCTGTATCAAAATGAGGTTTTCGACACATTTATCATGGTAGTCTGTATGTAAGTTTAATATACACTACCATGGTATACACATTTATCATGGTCGTGTATATTCAACTTACATGACACATATTTTTAAAGGCCCCCTTCGGTGTAAGCCAAGTTCTTCATATGCTAGAAGTCATATCATGGACGAAATATGCCATAGTTGAGCATGTCTGCCTGGAAACTATAGTTCAAAGATATCCATACAGCTGTGTTGGTGTACTATGCGCTGTTTTGTTTTGTTCTTCTTTAAAAACGTTTTACATGTTAGTCTTTACTGTTACGCACTAAAACACCAGGTCAAATTCCTCCCATGTGAAAACCTCCTGGGCAATAAAACTGATTCAGATTTTTGTACAGATTAGTAGTTTTACAGTGTTTGAGCAGAGTTGGTGAGCTGGTGTGCTGAGCTGCAGTGAGTGGCCGTGGGGTGAGTGGCAAAAGGGGGAGGAAGGGATTATTTTCATAAAAGAATATATGTAACTTTAATACACAGAAATAGTGTTGGGGGGTTTAATCAATGACCAGAAAGGGACATTTAAGTTATTTTTACACAATTACAACAAACATATGGGCATACAAAATCTGGAAACACTCTTGTATAAGTTTAACAGTCGATTTGTTTCTGAGCAAATAATAAATCAGTCATCTGAAGTTCGAGTATCGCACCGATGTAAATATTCTGTACAACCATACGCTTTTTGTTCCTGAACAAAACGTCATGCATCAGCAGCAGTTAAACATCACAATGGAGGCACACTAATAAACATACTACATTTATTGCATATTTTAATTATTTAATGTTTCAGTGCAATTCTACCAAGTTGTGCATATGTTTAAGTACCCATAGGGATTTGTTGCTATATTTTTTCCCATTAATAAATTACCACACATAAATCCTGTTTAAGTCACTAAATATGCAAAAATATGAGTGTGCGCTTCATGTCAAATCTCCCGGCTGTATGTAGAAAAGCATAGCTAAAGAGGAAGCGTGATTTTTACTGAGCTTTTTCTAAACACAGTGGTGACTAATAGAAATTCTGTTAAACGCCTGGGGATTTTAAAATGACAAGCAAGCGTCAATATTGCTCTCAAAGCATCCAAGGCTGTGCTGTGTTTCTGTGCGTCTGTGCGTCTGTGTGTGTGTGTGTGCATCCCTCAGCTTCCGAAGAGGAAGCTGAGCCTTATGTCCTAAGTAGAAAACATGGCTGGAAGTCTCTGTGCCAGCTGGCTCATGTCTCCTGGTGAAGTGAGGTGTGACAATAAATACACACTCCTTCACTAACAGCTAAGGTAGCCGAAACAAATACAGGCACTAAACCTACTGATGCGTTAAATCTCAGCGGTTTTCGTACCTGTGATATGTGAGTCACATTCGTTGTCTAAGTACATAAGTGAGGTGTTTCGTGTGCGTCTCGTAGCTTCTGCTATTCATCTACAAAAATCTATACAAATATAAATCAATACTGTTAATATATAGTCGTATTCAGCACAACAACAATGGAAGTATCAGCAGTGTTAAAGCTACTCCAATAACAATGATTGTCACAAATAGGACTTTTGTTGTGTGAGTGTTACTTATGTAAACCACTTTAACATTCAACAGCTGCTGCTCAAGTGACCATTCTGTGGCTCAGTGATGATGCTTTATGTTTGCATAAAGGTGTTGGAGGTGTTAGCACCCTTTAGAGGCAGAAAATGTATGTTGCACTCTTAAAATGACGTTCACTAAAAACACTAGGCTCCAGATTGTCCCACATCTAAAAGAGAGATTAAAATGCATGAAGACTGTTGGGGTTGGAGACGAAACTGCACCTCCTCCATGGTTCTTGTTTCAAGTCTCCCTCACAAGTCCCTGTCCTGGAAGGCGCTCAGGTTGAAAGCAGTGTCCATGAACCTCTTCAGCTCATTGAGGTGGGTGGACTTGTTGCCTGTCGCAGGTGCTGCCGCAGGATCCCGTCCCACATACCTGAAACGAACACTCAAGGTTTGTCACCAGTAACAGGAATTCAAATCCTTCACCTATAGTCCTAGGGGACAAGTTAACTTTCTGAACCTCAAAACCCACCAGCAGGACTGCCAGGCATGTTATCTTTAGGAATGTTTTCAGACTAATCGTAAAACTTTAGTTCCATGTGGAAAAATAACCAAATCTAAGCTTAAAATCATGACATTTTATCAAAATCACTTTATTCTACATGACTTATTTTAGGTTTTGCCAAAAATAAAAGCTTTGCTCTAACCAGACGGTGCAAAAACAAACAAAAACAAATATTAGTGACTTGTCTGCTAACAACACATGACAAAAATTCAGGGACTTTGAGACTGGCCAGAGCAGGAGGCTGTCTTTACATAGAGGAGATAGGACAAAAAGTAAATTTCTGTTTGGAATCAAAGAAATTCAAGGCTTTTTTCTTTCTTTTTTTTTATATTTCTATAGTTTATGGCATTAAAACTGTCATACTGCACAGTAACATTTGTAGTTTTCTCTACATCTAGTCATGGTTGTGCTGTTTCCGTGGAGCTGCAGGACTTTATATTGCAGTGCAAAATGAGCCCATAGTGAGTAAAAAAGTTACAGGAGGGTTAACAGAAGCCCTTACCAGATATGTTTCTTGTTGGCAACCACTGTGAGGAAACGTGGCCGGACATAATCATAGTAACCCATGTTCTTGTGCTCCTCCTGACACCAGACCAGCTCAGCATTGGCGTACTTATCTGCCTCTTCTCCGACCAGGTCGAATGGGAAAGGAGAGATCTGACGGGGAAGGCACAGAATGAATGACGGTTGAATTTATAAAACGGCATCACTTCCAGGCCTTCATTGTGTGGCATGTTCAAGCATGTACAAACCTGTTCAAGTCTGATGATGGCAACATCTCTCTCCAAGTTTTGCTGTTTCCTCTCTTTAGCCAGCTCATAGTAGACTTTGCCTGTGCAGAAGATGACTCTCTTGACTTGGTCTGGGCTTTGACTCGCAGGGCCCTCATCAGGAATCAGTCTCCTGAATTTAGTGCCTGCAAACATTAAATATCAAATGTTTCAAGAAGCTGCACACATACAGTCATAAAACACTGTTATGTCACATTTCACACAAAGTGAAACTCCACCTTTGGCGAGGTCATCAAAACTTGACCTTGCATCCGGGTGCCTCAGCAGAGATTTTGGAGTGAAAATGATCAACTGTATAAGAAAAAAAAAAAAAGAAGAAGAACAGGAAGAAAAAAGTTTCTGTCAGTGACAAACAACAGATTGATCCTGTCATCCGTAGCTTCATTGTGCTCACTAGAAAAAAAAAAAAACTCCAGAGATAAAAGTTTTTATCTCTTTTCACGCTAATTTGTTGTCAACATATAGCACGGAACATCAGCATTGGGAAAACAAAACATTTCTTTAACAATCAAATAAATAAAGCCTTTGTACTCAGTCAACCGACTCCAGAATTTCACAGTTTTTCATAAAAAAAACAACAATATTATCCCCCCTTGGCCCCCTCACTAATTTGCTCAGGAAGTAATTTTCTCATGCTTCGCAAAGCATTGCATTTATGTGCGACAGGGGATCAGTTAAGACATTCACTGTGGCTGAAAACTGGGAGAGACTGGAACAGGAGCTGCGCATATACAAAAAAAAAAAAAAAGAGAGAAAAGCTTTCCACATCAAAAGTTAACACGCAAACTAGCTCTACTTTAGGGGTTAAAACTGGAAGTTAATAACATACAGACCACATTTGTACTATAACAGAGTTAAGTCAATGTTGTCAGAGGTTATTCATGCATATGCAAAGCAAGTTTTCTCATAAATCACGGTTCTATCTATTAATTGTGTCATAACATAGTAATTAGAACAGTATATGTAACACTGAAGCAATGAACAACTAGCAGGAAACAGCAACTTTTTCTTCTCACAGAAATACTCTCCTTATTCCTCAAATACAAATACAAGTTTTTCAGGATGAGCCACAATAAGAAGTTTTCAGGACTATATTTTCTAAATTTAAGTGTGAAAATAACCAGCAATTAGTTTTAAAGTGTAAACTAGATTTGCTTTCCAGGAAACCAGTGGCCTATTTTAGACATAAAAACAACCACTCCATGACTAGAACAAACTCAAGCAAAGCAACCCACAGATAAAACCCAGTAAGGATGTTGTTACACTTTACCGGTTTCCTGAATGGCAGCAGAGTCTGTCGTCTGAGCACATGACAGTAGTTGGCAGGTGTGGAGCAGTTGACCACAATCCAGTTACAGTCATGCAGCTGCTCGACTTCAAAATCTCCACTGAACTCCTGTGTAAAAAGATTAATAATAAAAAAAAAAGGTTATCATTTATAAATGTTAATGAATGGAATAATTAGGTTGTGCTTGTCTCGATGGCAGCGATGCTTTTATCTCATAACTGGGCACAAGATGAAGCACATAAATGTATCAGTGCACTGGATCCCACTTTTGCACACACACAGGACAGAGAATGTTAATCCCATCGTATGCTCTCACTAATAGTTTGATCAATACCCCATTTGAAGATGAATTTGGTCAACCTCTGCTGACGCAGCCCCCTGAGCTTCCCTCCTTGAATGTTCCCTCATACCCGTTGACCCCTGGGAATGTGGGTAACTGCTGAATACCAACACTTTGGGGCCATAATGAAGAGACTTTTCAGCTCTAGACAAATAGGCAATCATCACTTAAGCCGTCACTTAAGTGGTCGGGACATCAGCACGGCCGATAAAACAGCAAACCACTAGATGTTAACTGCAGCACACCGTGGAGTGCACTGTGAGGCGGCTTAGAATTTCTTTGACATAAACCATTAGAGGAAAGTACTTGTGACCATTTCAGCTTCAATATAATTTGTACATGCCAACATACAGGGATGTGATCTGGATCATCTTTGCTCATTTGCAGGAAGCGTTCAGGTCGAGCTGATGAATGTTCTGGACCCTGAAGACAGAGCGAGACACATAATTACCAAATGGAAGAAGAATCCTACAAGAACATATATTCTAACAATGTCCATCCTCCATTTTCTGAAGTACTGTGTCTTGGTTGATTTTTACTTCTCACCATTCCCTCCATTCCATGTGGCAGCAGCAGGATGATGCCGTTGTTGCGGACCCACTTGGCCTGACCCGAGCTGATGAACTGGTCGATGATACACTGAGCCGTGTTGTGAAAGTCTCCAAACTGGGCCTCCCAGAGGATCAGAGCATTTGGACTGGCCATGGCAAACCCCAGCTCAAAACCTGAGGTCACAGTCATCATTATACAGAGCGACAAAATGACGTATCACAGCATGGTGTGCAGTTGGAGCAGTTTCAGTCTTACCTAGAACACCATACTCTGATAAGGAGCTGTTGCAGACAGTGTAAGGAGCCTGGTTCTCCCACAAGTGGTTCATAGGAACACAGATACGTTTGTCCACCTCTTGGTCGTGAAGAACATGATGGCGGTGACTGCAAAACATAAGAGAAGCAGTGACAGTGAGCAGTGAAACAGGCGTAGGGAAACAAGATTACAGCCATGCTACTGGCTTTGTGAGCTGTCCTTTGAGCTGAATGCACGCTAACAAGCTCGCAGTGAAAACACTGGCATGCTGGTGTTGGGCAGGTATAATGTCTGCCATGGTCACCATACTACAAAAGCTTAGCATGTTAGTATGCTAAATCGTTATCCTCTGCAGACCATAAATACCAAATTTCATGGTCACACAGTTTATAGATGTGGAGATGTTTTAATGCGTGTATGACCAACAATGAGACAAACAACCCTAGGATCTTGCTGCTAAAATGGCTAAAAAAACATGACTGTTGTTCCAAGTCATTCATTTGTGTATAAAGATTGTGAAAATAAATCAGTGTAATGACATCTATTAGTAAGAGAGCATATGCATCACATTTAGCTAAAATTAATAGATGAAGTCAGAGAGAAACAAAAATAACCACACAAACCACTGTAAGAGGTTGTAACACGTGCTATGTGCAAAAATAAACAACTTTCCTGCAACGTGTGATCATTTGTATCACAGATTTCTTTTTTTAACCAAAAAACAATACATTTTTAAGGGTTTAAATGGTCAAAAAATAAATGTTAAATCAAAATGTACAAATAAAAGCAAACAGAGGAAAAACTGTAAACCACAAAATTTAAAAAGCTGGAAACAGTTCTTGTCTGTTTCTTTGATAAATTACTTAACCGGTTAATCATTTACTGATTATGTAGTTAATCATTTCACCACTAGCGTTTAGAGAACAAAAATGGTATTTCTGACTGTTGAATAGTGTTCCCTGACTGACAGGCAACTGTCAGGACTTTTAAACAATGATGGTGAAAACAACTGGTTTTCTAAGGCAATTAGATTTTCTAAAGAGTCTTAACCCAGTAGATGCAGCGGCACTCACACCGACACACACAGCAGCCCGTGTTCTCGGCCCACAGAGGCGCTCTATGAAGAGTCCTCTCCTTTCGTCTCTCGTGATATTCAGTCAGAATGAGGCTCAACAAGAGTTGATGGGAGCAAAGAGCCAAGTGTTAACAAGCTCTGCCAGTCGGCTCGCTCCCTGGAAGGAATCGGCTTTCAAAACCAGCACGATCAGACAATCACTTAAACCCCTTTAACATCACTTTAATGACATCTACACACATGCATACATTCAAACGCACACACAGTGCTGGAGGTTATGTAAGGGTCAGGCAGAAGAACTGCAGGAAATAACAAAAATTACTATCTTGAATGTGATATATCGCCTCCAAGAAGACTAGATTATTATGATATGAGGCCTTTGAATAGTATTATCCATAATTATGGACTAATGAGGACACATAATTTGCTGCATAATTGTTGAATCCTTGATCCACATTTGTAGGATACACACTTTCTCTTCAAGAAATCCTCATTGAAAAGAAACCAAAGAATCTAAATCATCCAGCATTAATTGCGGTAACACTTTATTTCTATTTACATTTTCACAATCCACCTGCACACAGTCCAAGGAGGACCGAATGAGAATGAGGTCTTTCTCTTGGGTTGCCTCATAAATGGCATGCCCACCTCTCTCTTCTTTATGTTTTCTTTCACTTCCACACACAAAAACGCACACACTTCCTCTGCCTGGGGGCCCCATTAGTCAGGGAAAGGGGTGCACAGTGCAGCACATGCAACCCATCCAAACACGACGACTGAATCCATTAGTCCACGCCGTTACGTACATCACAGAAACGCAAGCAGGCCCACTCAACTGTAACATGCCAATATGCTCAGCTCCTAAGAACTATGAAGGGAACCAGAATAGTGGGGGATGAAAGAAGTGTAGGTGGGGAGCAAGGGAAAAAAAAAAAAAAGAACAATGAGGGGAGTTAGGGGGTTAGGTATAAAGACAAGGAATGAAATGTAGACTTACAGCTGACACCTAGGAGGATTTAAATAAACAACAGGTTACACAGAGATGTGGAGTGGACGCAGTATCGGACTGCTGTCATTTTTTTCAACTAGGCAAATCACCCTGCTGAGGGGGACAGCGGAAGGGGAGAAGTAGATGTCATTGGTAAATGCGAGGCAAAGGAAAAAGCCCTGTAGCCTCTGGTTAGTTAGTGTGATGTATGTCGCTGTGAGCGGAGGGGGGGGGTGGGTGTTGTCAGAGAAGATGGGCTGGTGGAGAAATGATAGGGGACAGATGAGACAGGCACAGCGAAAGGGGGGCTGGTTTTGTTCATGTGTCACTCGTTCCCTCCATACCATGACAACACCATGTGGGCTTCACAGATCCCAGGAGACTGCGCTGACGTCTCTTGTCTGTCAGATTCTCTATGATACTCTCCACACACACCCCCCAGTTACTTAATTCACTGTCTTTAAGAGAGTGCCATTTACCCTTTAGATGTGGTCGCTGAAACTGAGATACTCGAAAATTTAATTTCAAAATACTATATTTTTAGCAGTCAGCAGCAGTAAGGCTGGCTGACATAGTATAGTAGGACAAGTAGAAATATTTATTACTATGGATACGTACATATAATAATCTCACAAATCAGACATAAATCACATATACATAAACAAAACCTTACTTTTTCGTTACTTTTCCGTTTGTATTTTCATCATTAACTTAGACAACAGAAGAGAAAGAAAGAACAGATAACATCTTTTAATTACACTATGATTCAGTTCAAAGCTGATACTGACATATCGCCAAGTCCTACAACATTGTAAAGATATATAAACGGAAACTGAGAGAGGAAAAAGTGAGAGGATGTGAGACACCTCTGGATTCCTTCTAAAACATAAAGATTTTTTTTGAGCGTAACAAAACTAACAGGTATTCACATTTTTAAAAAGTCGTCATAAAGGCCACATCGAGTTCTCAAAGACTCACCTAAAAGTTCCCCGCTCAACATCTTGCCCGCTGAGCCGTATGTGTATGCCGTCTTTCAGAAGGGAGCCAAAGGCCATGTACTCTCCCAGAGCCCAGTCCATCTGACGGTTCTTCACCAGGTCAGCTCGACCACGCAGGATACGAGACACACCTAAAGGAGACGCCAGCAGAGGAGCAAAAAAACAAGTTGATATCTTAGAAGAGCGTTGAGAAAGGGGGTGCAAACCTATTGGACTGATGTACTGCACTATAAAAACACTGAGAAGCTTTGCGTCAGTCTTAATTGCTGTAGCTTTAGACAATCAGCTGTGCAGGCCAAACACCTGCTGCTAGGAAAGAATATGTTAACCACTTTAATAATCAAAGATAAAGATACTGCTTTCCTGTTAATATGTAGATTTCTCGCATGGTACATAAGTGCTACCGCTACCATCACCATTACTGTGACTATTACCCCAAATCACTGCTCTGTCGTTAAGCACAAAGCATTACTATACTCACCAGGGTGGATCTTAAAATCCTCCAGAGGCACTGAGCTGGCTGTCTGACCAATGTGCTGCAGAACCTCCTCGTCCAGTCCTGTAGGGGGGCAGCTCATGCTCCTGGGTTCCCCTTCTGCTGTGAAGAAATCTACAGAGAAGGAAATCATCACTCCAGCAGGAACAGAAATTACGAATAGAAAAAGTAAAAAATCAAATGTAAAAATGGAACAAATTGCATTACTTTGTGTTTACTCATTAAATAAAGAGGCAGCTTTTCATAGTACCGGGACAACTTACCTGGCCAAGGTGAGTCAAGCCAGTGTCGAATGTGCAAGATCTTCTCATCCTTGGAGCTGGTGTACGCCTCCTCACATATCTTGTCATATTTGGCAACTTCTTCCTGCCAACACATTTCGTAACAGGGGCAATGAAAAACTCCTCAATTGAACTAATGCAGAGCTTGTTTAATTTAATTAAGGGACTTCAGCTGACTAACCTAAACTGTGTGCAGCTGAGACAGAGAGAAAATGAGACTGAGAAGGGAGAGACAGATATTAGAGGAGGAGAAAAGCCTCCAGTAGCACTAACCGTTCTGCCTTTCCTATATTATAAATGGGCCTTTCGCCACAGTCCAAATAGCGGGCCACACAACAGAAAACAATGTCCATCAAAAGCCAGGTCTTTGCACACCAGAGAGCTGCTGCAGTATTTCTCTGACATGTGAGATGAAAAAAAAAAAGTTTAGAATTGATGCTAGGGTCAAAGTTTCTGTTTTGAATGAAGAGCCTTTCCAATTCCACTGAATGGCGCCTGAATCTGAGATATCCTTCAGTTTCATTGAGCAATATATACTCTCTGTGAGGGATTGTGAGACCAGGTGATTGAAGCGGGGCAGTAAATTGAAACTCAAATGCAGCAGTGCTGGCATAACATATTTAGTCGAAGGCTAGGGTAATATCTAAGTGTGATTTAATGCCCACAGCCCAGCAGATGGTGATATAGCAAATAAAACAGCATACAGTAGCAGCGAGCAATATACAGTATATTTAACAAGAGAAAGTAGTGTTAGATCACAAACCTCAAATTCCTGCAGCGTCACCACTCCCTCAGCAATGAGCTTATCAGAGTACTTTTTCAGCACATGCTCCTGCCGACGGATCTGTTTGTACATGAGCGGCTGGGTGAACATGGGCTCGTCCATTTCGTTGTGCCCAAAACGTCTGTAAGAAACCTGTAAAAAGCACACAGCTTAAAACAACAAGATACTATCTGTACGTATGTGGTTGCTGATCCCGTTAAGACTTGACTGACCAGGTCAATGACGACGTCCTTGTTGAAGGTGGACCTCCACTCTGCAGCCACCCGGCACACGTAAATGACAGCCTCAGGATCGTCAGCATTCACATGGAAGATGGGTGCATTGACAACCCGAGCAACATCAGTGGGGTAAGGAGAGGAGCGGGCCACTCGAGGATCTGTTGTGAAGCCAATCTGATGCAAACATGCAAAACTATTATAATCTAGAGGCTTGAATCACATACATGATGTCCAGAACAACAAAATGTGCTCTACCGTTACAAATAACAACAGAAAATATCTTTATATGTGTAAAGCAACATGTGTACCATCTAAAACTAAAAGCTTTTATTGTCAGTTTTCTTAAATTTCTAATACCTGGTTGTTGACCACCACATGGATCGTACCATGTGTGGTATAAGAGGGGAGCTCGCTCAGATGAAAGGTTTCATACACAACTCCTTGTCCAGCAAAAGCAGCATCACCGTGCATCAAGATGGACATCACCTTAAATCAATAATTAGATTCACAAGGGTGAAGCAGTTTGCCTACATGCTTTTAAATATAAAGAGTTCTTTGCAAAAACAGGTAACTGCATCTTCACAAACCTTCTAAAAATCTACTTTCCATCATCCTCCTGAGACAATGTCAACCAAACTTAACTTATTTTTCTCATGTCATTTCTACTGAGTCAAATCCACTCAACTTCTGTTTGATTGATATTATCTCAAGCAAACCACAAAAAAAAAAACGTTTTCTGAAAATCTACAAAATGAAGTTATCTGTTTTTGCAAATGAACTCTTCATATAGTCCTGGCAACGTAAGAGTTACCTTCTTTCCCTGAGTGTCTCCTTTGTAAAACTGCTCAGCTTTGGTCTTCCCCTGAACCACCGGATCCACTGCCTCCAGGTGGGAGGGGTTTGCCATAAGTGACAGCGTGATGTTCTTGTCCGTCTCCCGGTTAATCCTCTCGTGGTACATCCCAAGGTGGTATTTGACATCACCTGAGCCCTACAAGTGCACAGACTGAGGTTAAATAAAGCACCAGCTGGTACCTCCAAAATACTTTTCTCTGACATTTTTTTTAACATAGTCACACGACAGCTTGCTCACCTCATCTGTAGCTTCTAATTTAGGGTCAAACTGACAGAAGATCTGGTCCAGCTCCTTTCGGATCACATTGGCCAAGACGTTTAGTCGACCCCTGCAAGTACAGTTTACAAAGTCTGTATCGAATAGGGAAGGAATTGACCGTGTGAACAGACTGAATTAAGAGGTGAGAAAAGGTCCGAAGCACTTTACCGATGAGGCATCCCCATGATCACACTGTCGATGCCTGCAGCGCTCGACTTGTCGATGATGGTTTTAAGAGCAGGGATGAGAACTTCACAGCCTTCTAGACCAAATCGTTTCTCTGATGACCACTTTCTGGCCAGGAAATCCTCAAATCTAGAGATAAAAATAGTTTTTAACAGTTCACTGATGTTTTTTCCATCAAAACGTAGCTTTACACAACTGATACTACAGAATATACAGCTACTACTTGATAATGTTTTCTTTCTGGAAAATTACTATGATGGGTTAGAAAATTTGTACTCAAGCACTTAGCAAATTCACTTCATTCCCAATGTGTGTGTGTGTGTGTGTGTAGAATACAGTAAGAAAGATATGCACACTAACAACAGACAGATCACTTCTAGGAACCTCTCGTGAGTTCTGAGATCATTAATCAAAGACGAAAATGAACTCACATGAAGAATAGGGTGCTAATTTCTAAATATATGTGTGTTAGAGTTTGGTTTATGTTACGAGAGTCCTGGGCGTGAGCTATAAGTAAAAATGAGGTACTGTGCTGTCACCAAAGTGTAAGTCAGTGGATGATTATTCATTGCTGACCGTGTGGATCGGATCAGGCGGGCCAGCAAAGTCCTCTTCTCTGCATTAGTGAACTGCATGATTCCCGGACTCTCGAATTTCTGTCGAATCCACTGACACTGGTCCACATTGTTAATGAACATAAATTCAACCCCGATGTGACCGCAGTAGGATGTCTAGAGAAGAAGAAAAGGGAAAAATAGCATGGAACAGAAATATGAATTCCCTCCATCACTACATGAATGTACGGACACTCACACACACGAAGAGAGTACCTCTAGTCTGCGTATAATTTCTCTAAGAGGAAGAGTAGTCTCTTGTCCACCGATGAAGGTGGTGGAGGGCAGCTGGAAGCTTCTATCCAAGTCAGACTCATCAAGACCATAGAAACCTACAACAGCATGGTGTGAAACATACAGTAGATTTGATTAAGACTCAAGACAGGCTGACTATGCCCACTGATTGCTTATAATTGTACCTCCTAAATTACAATTAAAGTTCTTTTAATTTGCTCTATTCTTTGTACTGTTCTTCTGTAGAGAAAAGAATATATATCCTTACAGGGAGCACGACTATAATGCAGTTCAATCATGCTTAAGAAAATCTAAAGATTGAAACCAAGGATCATTATTCAATTTTAACTAATGACCGGAAAACTGAAAATAGATACGTTTTCAGGTTACTAGTCATTAGTTGGAAGATTTTATATTCTGTTACTTTTTTCAATATCATGTAAATGCAGCAGAAACCACAGTATAGATTGGTAACAATAATAAAACTACATTATTTATGTTACTGCAATGTTTATGTTAATTATTCATATAAATGTGAATATTTGCTACTGTAGTGAGACTAGAGCAGATTTGTTTATCAGCTGATTAAGTCAAGATTGGTCACCAAATAATCTTGCAAATTTAATAATTGAGCAAGGCATTCATCAAGCATACATTTTCACAACAGTTGTTGTTAATGGCTTCTCTGAAGGGAAGATTTACTAATATAATCTTTGTAAATTAAATGCAGGAAAAAACAGCAATTTGAAGGTATTCTCTTGGGTTCTGGGGAATTGTGATCACCATTTTTCACATTCCATTGACTAAATGATTAATTGATCCATCAAAATATAATGACCAAAAGATAAATTGATGACGAAAAATATCATTAGCAGCTCTCAGTGAGACTGAAGGGCTCCCTCCATACTCAGAGCAATGAATTAAGAGGCAAAATTTAATCTGAGGTGATTGGTTTGATGAAAAAGAATGTGAAAATAAAGCTTTGGGAGAGAATGATGACCATAATCCAGAAGAGATTTGTAGACAGTATGGCATCAGGACTGATGGAGTTAGAGCATCAGTATGAGCGGACCTAACATACAGGTAGACTTGTGTGCTGACAAAGCCCACCTGAGAGAGCTGGTCAAGCTCAAGATCACAGGCAACATCGGAGGAGACAGGTGCAAATCATATTAGGAACACTGCAAAGACAAAGGGGGCCAAGAATAGACTCGTGCACTATCAGCTGACCGAATAAGGGGCCACGGATGCTGTCATTAGCCTTCATTAGGGAGCTATAGCCCTGATGACAATACATAATGCGATGCTACGTCCTGACACACACTGATCACTGATACCAGCAGCCAACAGAAACAATGTCTCTCTCTCTCTCTCTCTCTCTCTCTCTCCTCTTTACTTGCTATTACGGTAGACTTCGATCGCTTTCTGTGGCCATCCCGCATCCTCCAGCCCTCAGTCCACTAAATGAAATGGAGAATGACACGAGCTTGGCCTGAGATTAATGGCAGCATTACGCTGACCAACTCGTATACACACTTGGCGGAGAATGTGATGGGGCCCTTTATACTAAAATACCACTTCCCGTCTTGAGCCTGATGAGTTACACAACCCTGGATCAAGGATGTGTGTATAATGTGAGCATAGCTGCACATGTATCTACTGGGGAAAAAAAACCTTGAGGGGATATAAAAATGTTATTTAAATAAAAAAACAAATGAAATATTTTCATTATAAAGAAGATAAAGCTTTTGAAGTAAGCCTGCCAGTGAGACTGAAAGCCGTAAGTTCGACGTGTATCCTTACAGTTAATTAGAATGAAGGACTTCTATAGTAGGAATCTCATCAGCATATATACTGCCTGTGGGGTAACTCCACATGCTATTAGTTGAAAGAGGGATATAAAATAAGGAGCTGTTTTGTACGAGGTCTATATATATAAAAAAAATAATAGATTGATCCTGCAGATGTGCATTTATTATTCTGTATTGTTTTTTAGTAATAGAGCTGGTCTTAATCGCAATCACGTCACATTTTATATTCCTGGGAGAGGGTTGTGATGTATAATTTGGCCAGGATGAAAGAGTCTTGCCTAATTTATCAATGGTGGTTATCAGGTCGGAGGGAACAAAGGAGTCCAGGTCAGCCTCCAGGATGCCAAGAGGGTCTAACTGAGCAACATGGTGACCGCGAATCTATGAGACAGGAAGAAATGTGGAAGAAAAAAGGAAAACAAAGAGAATCAGGTAAGAAGAAAAAAAAATGAAAAAAAGAGAACTGTGACAGGCAGTAAAGATTAAGAAGCAAATTGATTTCCATCATGGTGCTGAGTATGAACAGCTGGAGAATAAGCAAACACTCAGTTACAGGTCAACCTCTCTAGGAAAAGAGACCCTTGGGAGTGCTTTTATGTCTACGTACAGACACACACACACACATTTCCAGCAGGACTACAACAAGCTGGGAATAAAAGTAACGCCTTTGCCAAAAGACAGAATTTAATAAATCCCTCGGATAGTTCCTCGAATTAATTTGAGGGTGAGAGGAAATGTTGCCACCTGTTTTGTTTAAGTAGTCTCTTTGATATTTCCATTTTCAAAAAGCAGCCAGGCTAAGTAGGTTAGAGCTAATCTTACAATTTGCATAACCTCGTGCAGGGACAAACAAATTGTATATTCCTTTTAATACGAGGACACACAGTATAAACAGCTTTCTTTGCCAGTCGCATCTGTTTTGGCAAGTCCAAGTGGATTCTGTTTGATGCATTTTTCACACACCCGTCAGAGATACAAATAGTCAGTCAGCTGTGGCTCGAGGAAGATGTCTTAATTCTGTACACAGACACTGCTTCAAGATTTAAATTGATGGCCATGAATCTTTTATTTAGTAAATGTCACAAATCCTCATTACAACAAAAGCCGATGTATGCGCATGTGTCTGAGCACCTGAGTGCGTGTGGGTGTGTGTGTGTGTGTATTTGTGTGTGTTCTTCACAGCTGGTCTGGGTGAACGTGGCGTACCTGGTAGGCTCTGATAAGAGTGTGTACAGCCAGGTGGTCCTCCACCACTTTCTGCGCCATGTCGAGTGAGTGGGACATCACTCGGCCCTGGAGCAGGGTGGAGGGACGTGTCTCAGCTGCCTCGCCAGATGGACTAGAGGCCTGCATGTTTCGGAAGAATCCGTCCCAGGACTAGAATACAGAAAAAGACGGACCCAGCAGAGACAAACAGGTCCATCACAAACATGAACACCTGCTGCTTACTGACTGGTTGGATGGGGGATGACAGAAACGTGAAAAGCAGGATGTGAATGCAGAACACTGCAGCTACAACATATTTGTACATGACCCAGGCAAATGAACTAATAACTGAATAAGTAAGATATTATCAAGTTTCCTCTGACTAAAGATATGCTGAACTATCTTTCAAGACCAACAAAGGCAGTCAATTATAATTTCACTTCTTCACACTCCACGTGTCGATGACATTGTTACCTCTGTATATTTCCATCCATGGCCTAAAAATGAACAACATATAGCGGAACTGATTACATCCCTTTGTAATAACACATAAAAATCAAATAAATCAGCATTGTATGACCTTACAGTAAGCACATAACTTCTAAGTTGAACAGTGGGGTATTTGCTCTTTTGTCAAATTAAAAACTAACAGTTTAAATTTACTACATAAAAAATTGCCCCCCACAGTAGGCAATCAGAGCAACAGAGTCATATATTACATTTTTTCAGTACTTTGCACGTTCTTTATAATTTTTGATGGCTCAATCCTCTTCAGCATGGAGAATACCAGTGTTGTACACATTTTCAATCTTTTTCTTCACATTTTTTTTAAGTCCTTCAGGCAAATCTTTACCATGTGGCTCCATGATGCAGACATGCAGACAGCCACAACTGGTCCAAAACTGAGAAAGTTCAAGTCTTCACAAATCATTTTGTAGCCATGTTTAATCCTAATTTGAAATACTAAACACTTGCTTTTTAGGTTTTCTGACTACTGTTTCAGTGATTGCAGGTGTATTCACTTTTGTTGCATTTAGTTTCTACTTATGGGGCTGTATTTTCAATATAATCTCTTTACAACATTTTGTTTTTTATTTTTCATATGAGGAAATATTCTTCTTGTTAACTTGGATATAATGCAATTACTGAATGGTGATACAGTTTGGAAACATCCATCCATCCATTATCTATACACCGCTTAATCCTCATTAGGGTCGCGGGGGCTGGAGCCTATCCCAGCTGACTTAGGGTGAAGGCAGGGGACACCCTGGACAGGTCGCCAGTCCATCGCAGGGCCAGTTTGGAAACATTTGACATCTAATTGTGCACAGAGGTCCATCTGTGTCCTATACTGTATATTCAACATGACAACTTGGCACATGTTGTACACTGCTCTATTACCTCATGGACGTTTTTGTGGTCCTCCAGCCAGGCGAAGTACATCTCCTCCACATAGCTGGAGCTGCTGGCCACCGCTGGGAGAAGCGGCTCAGTCCTGGAGGAGGTGGAGGAGGAGGAGGAGCAGCCTCTTTTTGGATCAAGCCAGCGCCTGGCCGGGCCCCTTCCACACCCACGAAGCAGCTGGCTCCCTCCAGCGCACCCACCCTTCAGCACACCCGCTAACGCCCGAAACTGACTCATGGCTGCAGAAGTGAACAGAGAAAAGTGAAAGTGTGCACAGTTTGATTTGAGTCACAGCCTGAGTATGAGAAATATCTAAATGTCACGTATCATTATAGTATTTCAGCTGTTTAAACTGACTGTAGGACTGGAAAGAGCGCATATGGCACATTATGAGACTATAATTGCCAACACAGTCGGGATGACCTTTACAATTTTCGATGGAATCTACATCTTAGCTGCATACGTTTAATGTTGAAGCTAGAGTAAACACATTCGCGTAACCGGCCTGTTTCTGTGCAAAAAAATCTATGCAGCTGCAAACAGCGCGTAACCGCGAACATCTCAACTATGACGGTGCTGCAGTATCTGACCGCTGAAGGAACTTCCTCACCTTTTTCCTGCAGGATGCTTTGCTTTACGGGCTCCTTTTTAGACTACAGCGCCGACATCACTGCCAAAACATTGCCTATTTCCACCTACATCTGTTCCCTTTTCCCCCTGCTGGACTCCTAATCCCTCAGCGTCAACATAAATCCTCATAATCTCCGCTCGTCTCTGACATTGCAAAAGCGCGCTACCACGCAGGAAAGAACAGTGGTTTTTAAAACGTCCAAAACGTTTTATTGCTGTAAATTACGATTACCTTAGACTGCACCGCTCTTTGGCTTTACTGTCATCGCCGAGAGGTGCAAATAGGACAGGTATCAGTGAAGGTGACACAGATCCAAGTGGAGCTTGGCACGCCCCCCTCCTCCGCGCGTCAGGTGGTGCGTCCTGTGCGCAGGGAGCAGCCTGCTGCACCCAAAGGTGGCTTGGGGTTCCTGGTAAACACACCTGCTGAGGTAGGGGCACGCATAGAGGGGCAAACATAAATCACATGCCATGCCTCTTCAAATAAAAACATCAGAAGTCAGTGTTTTTCTTTACAACTGCACTTTTAGAATCAGAATACTTACTTTTAATCTATGAGCACACACTTCTCAGCCAGACAGGTGATTTTTCCCCCCCCTTCTCCAAGATATATCACACATGTGTCTTTGCCTTCAGTGTTAATTATATAAACCAATTAAACTTTTATAAAGGCTGAACATGAGTCATTGGAACAAGTGGTTTCAGATTGATGGGCTTCTACCTTGAGTGGGTTAAACAATAAGATAATTGGCCCTGCCTCCACCCAGCCTCTTTTCCTTCCCCCTCACCAACCCCTTGCTCTCCTCCTCATCTAGATTTTCATCATTCATACTTGCTGGCTGAGAGGGAACAGTATTATCAATCATGACAAACACACTACTGAGGGGTGGGGGGAGAAGAGAGTGGGCAGGAGGATCTACCAGACAGAGCAGTAGAAGGTCTAAATATCGGAACGTCAACAATCACAGCAGCATTATGCTTTCTTTAAAATGCCAAGCAGTATGCAGTGCAGTGTCTCCTTTCAAGAATACAAAAAAGTCTCATTGATATGCTCCACATGCTTGATATTAAATGAGTGCTTTCCCCCTACACAAATACATTCATTATTGTTTAACTCCAGTGCAAGCAGCATTAAGGTTCAATGTTTCCTGAACTCTTTTATTTGCATTTTGCTGCAGCTCTCCAGCTGACCTGGAGAATGCAGGGTCAAGCAATTATGAACTGAAATGCCATTTTGTTATAGTGACTTTGCCACTTGACAGAGATGGAGTGAAGACCAGAAGCTTTCTGGCGTTATATTAATAATGTTCATCGATGAAAAGACTTGTGCCGCTGGGTAACACTGCAGCCTTGATGTTAAATAACATCCTGCTTAGAATAATTACATCACTATACGGGACAAAACCGGACCAGCTGTTTAGGATTTGAAACATTTCTTGTGTATTGGGAAATGAGAACAAGTGAATATTTTTTTTACCTCCAATTTCTGGTGGCATATAAATTGTTATAAATGCACCAACAGTGGATATGTCATCAGTGTTGTTGACTATGGTTATTCATTTGTAGGATTCGCCTGGCACATTGAGTCAATGTTCAGTGTCCTAATAAATCTTTGATTAAATCTAGCAGGCACCAGCCAACTAAACAAAGTTCATGTCCAGGTAACCCAGGCTCATAGCAGACATCAACAGTTAGGTCTGCCAAACCAAATTGACTTTGTACATCAGCCCACAGCTCATTTGGTCGATGCAGGGCTCAGTACAAAGAGCGGGAGAAGCAGATAATGTGTAATCCACTTACCCTTGCCAAGCCTACACACCATTTATGGAAGTCCACGTCATGAGGTTATTTAGAAACCCTAATTCATCTAATAAAGCATGTTTGAAGGCGGAATTAAATTTTTCTGAGAGCCCTAGGTACACGTGCTATCACAAAAATCAATCACATTTCAAATGATTAAATAATGGATGATTTCATGAAATTAGGTGACAAATTTGCGGTACCAAGACACTGCTACAAACGGACATATTAAAGTGAAATTAAATCTCTGATGAATGCAAGAGACTGCAGTAAAATCTGCTATTTCCTTGATGATCCATGAATAATTCAATCACTTTGCTGTAAAGAAACTACACATTGAAAATTAGGCAAAATGGCTTCTAAACAAAATTTGTGCTCAACGTTAAAATGCTCCCATCATTGAAGTGAAGCTGTGTGACCTAAAGGTTGTTGCTCCTCAAATGATCCTTTGGTTTTAGGTGGTAAACCATCTTGATCTGAGCAGAAAAATACAACTTTAACAGGATATACTTTAATTAGGAAATTATAATAAAAATAGTACAACCTAAAAGGCTCAGGTACAGTACTATGCAATGCATTTACAGCCTTTAATCTATTCATGAACCCATCATTAAATAGAACCCACACTGTCAATCAGAAAACACAGGAAATCATATATATATATATATATATAAAAAAACCATAACCACATCCCCAAAGTAAGTGTTGAGTAAAAACATTAACAAAAATAATATTTGTCGTGCAATTCTTTATTTATCTGCTCCCCCGTTAATTTGTATATACAGTATCAATACTGTGCTTAACACTGAATATATTTAAAATTGATGAAGTGACCATAAACCTCTAGTACCTGTTTCATCTGAGATGACTCTCACACCAGTGACTATGTTGACCGTTTTGACTCATATTAAAATAAGCCTTAAGGACAATATGTATGTTGAACTTCAACATCATAGAGGATATAAAAGAGCAGCATATATTTGTAGAATATTTGATAAATAAATGTTACCCATGCATAGACTACAGTATGGCATCTCACCATCTCTCAGCATTCAGGAACCTCACCACAGGCTGGGTATGGTAAATAGAGAAGACAACTCATCCAAAAAAAAAAGTAGCAAACACAATATAAGACAAGATAACCAGGGGGGACTATCATGTCCTGGATTATCAATAGTGAAAAGTGTCCACAATCATGCATATGATGAATATTTGGCCATATTTGTAATTAGTGTGTAAAAAAAGAATTCCACATCACATTTAGACTAAACAAAGGCCTAACAGCAACCAGGATTTACTATTGCTATAAGTCTCTGAAACATTTCACCACATTTGGTGCCGTACTACCAGGCTCCTATAATACCACCAGCGAGAAAGGCAAAACTGTGTTTTTGTAGTTTGTGTGTTGGAATCACAAACTTAAAGGGAGTGTATGTGAGAGAAAGAGTGATTGTTAAGCACAAGACTGAGAGTACACTGAAGTTTCTGAACCTGGAGTCTCTTTTACAGAGAGACAAGAGAAGGGAGGTTAAGTTTCAGTTCTTCCCCGTTAATGAGAGTCTGCTGTTACAGGCGACATCCCAGAATCCTTAGCCGAGTCCGAGGTGTCGGTGGTTTTGGGGGTGGAGACTCTCTCGTAGATGAAACTGTAGAGGCTGACGTCAGGCCGAGTCGTGCGGCAATTCTTGCACATCACATTGAAGTATTGGTTCAGAAGGCTGTACAGTTGGCCTGGGAAGGTAAGTGAGGGTGGTGGAGAGGGAGGAAGGGAGACGGGGGAAGGGGGACGGTGCAGGGGTCAGGGGAAGGAAGAAATTTGGAGGGAGAAAAAACAGGGTTTGAGAGAAATGGACAAAATGCATGGTTAAAGAGTCAAAGAGCAAGAGAGAGAGGGACTGAAACTACAGCAGGAAAAAAGAAAAAGAAAAATGAAAGCGTGTTTGGGCTCATTTATAAATCAAGCGCACGTACACACGCACACATGCCATGAGGTTTTTTTTTCCCCCTCCGTAGCTCCACTTTAGGAAATGGATGGCTAGAGGGGAATTTCTCTGAAAGGCTTCAATAAATGTCAGCAGAAGAAAAATGAAAACGGGGGGGAGGGGAGAGGCTGGGGTCAGTTCAGGCAGTAATCCACTCTGCGGCTGTGGCTGAAAGGATGGGCCGAAGAACAAGAGATGGCCCATAAGGTGGAATAACTTATCATACAGATGGACGGCGTTCTGTTATTTATGCATACTGTCTCTGTAAAGGCACCAACAAGGACAACCTCCGCGCACTGTGCGAAAGCCTCACAGTCGAAACAGTGGGTGATATCATCACTATTCCTGGTCATTATGTAATCTGCCATAAGAGCTCAACAGATGCAGGACTGACAAGATAATAACTGTGTGACTGCAGCTTGGGACAAAGGCTAACTCCTGCAAACAAGAAGACTAGAACTAGAACTGGTTTTGTGCCTGAGTCTTACCAACGGGGACTTGTCTCTCAGTGAGGAAAGTGTGCATTTCATGAACGTCTCTCATGAGCTGAGCATCCCCAAACGTGAAGTATGCCACGTCCCTCCCGGCCTCTGCTGCTGCCATGAACTGAATCAGCGCTGAAAAACAGAGAAGGAGAACGCTACAGGGAAATTCAGGCACCAATAATATATTGTAATAGCACCATTAGTTTTGGAATGAAATCATAAAGGTGTAATTGACCACTGAAAAGCATAGGAGACTAAGTAATTGGTCAATAAGCCAGATAAGGTACAGCTTCTGGCAGGAAAGAACATGAGTGACAGGGGCAATTTGTATCAGAAGAGT